CTCTCTCTCTCTCTCTCTCAAAAATAAACATTAAAAAAATTAATCTGAATCTAAAGACATAATAACATGACCTCTTGAATAAATGTTCACTTAGTCCCTGCTGTGATATAGGCAGTGTTCTAGATCAGCACTGTTCAATAGAAAGAGAGTACAAGCACATATGTAAGTTAAAATTTTCTGGAAGCCACACTTAAAAAGGTAGACCCAGGTGAAATTAACTGTACTACTTTTTGTTTATTTTTTTAATTTTTATTTTTGTAATTTTTTAATATTTATTTACAAGAAAGAGAAAGAGAGGGAGACAGATTGCAGGTGGGGGAGGGGCAGAGAGAGGGAGACACAGAATCCGAAGCAGGGTCCAGGCTCTGAGCTGTCAGCACAGAGCCCGATGCGGGGCTCGAACTCACGAGCCATGAGATCATGACCTGAGGCAAAGTTGGATGCTCATCCGACTGGTTTGTCTTATTTAACTCAGTATATCCAGAATATTTTAGCATGTGATCAGTATAAAAATGATTAAGATATTTTACATTCTTTTTTTTTTTTCAAGTTTATTTATTTTGAGAGAGAGAGAGAGAGAGAGAGTACGAAGGGGAGGGTTTGAGAGAAGAGAGGGAGAGAGAATCCCAAGCAGGCTCTACACTGTCAGTGCAGAGTCTGACCTGGGGCTTGATCTCTTGAATCGTGAGATCGTGATCTGAGTCATAATTAAGAGTCAGATGCTCAACTGACTAAGGCACCCAGACACCCCAAGATATTTTACTTTTTTTTTTTTTTTTTTGGTGGTAGGTCCTTGAATTCTGGAGTATAGTTTAATCTTACAGCACATCTCACTTCAGACTGAGCACATCACAGGTGCTCTGGGCCCACATGTGGCTAGTGGCTCCTGTGGTGGGCATCTGTCTCCTTCTATATGTTGGGGTTGCAGTAGTAAAGAAGATGCAGAAAGTTCTTGCCCTCAGGAGGAGTCCTCTAGCAAAGAGAGACTGATAATACACAACAGGTATAAACAAGATCATAGTGATACGTGCTGTAAAGAAAACAGGACATTGATGTGGGAGGAACCGGAAGTAGGATGAATACTCAGGGAAGAGCTGTTGGAGGTGTTGATGTTTGAGCTGAGGTGCGAATGATACAAAGGCAGAGCTAGTCCTATGGTAATGGGAGTGAAGGTGCCCCAGTCAGTGGGATCTACAGGTGCCAAGGCCCTACAGTGGGGTGTTCTCTCTGTACTTAGGGAACTGAGTGGCATGGCTGGATTGTAGTACGTGAGAAAGTGTGAGGAGATTAGAGAGAGATTAGGCATGCTCTAGAAGAAATGACAGACATAAAGGCTATGATAAACTGAGATTTTATTTTATTTTATTTTTTTTTTTCAACGTTTATTTATTTTTGGGACGGAGAGAGACAGAGCATGAACGGGGGAGGGGCAGAGAGAGAGGGAGACACAGAATCGGAAACAGGCTCCAGGCTCTGAGCCATCAGCCCAGAGCCCGACGCGGGGCTCGAACTCACGGACCGCGAGATCGTGACCTGGCTGAAGTCGGACGCCCAACCGACTGCGCCACCCAGGCACCCCCTGAGATTTTATTTTAAATGAGAAGCCAGTGGAGGGTTTTAATGGGGGCATAAGACACACATGAGTTTATAAAATACATGTTAGGCACTCATGCTTAAAAAAATGCCTAATTTATTGTATATCTAATTCAGTGGACCAGATGACCAAACTTTTTTTTAAAAAATATCTGTAACGAAGATCGCTTTCCCGTTTTCAAAATAAACTTACGTGTAAGTCAGTATGTTATGTGTAGACATTTTTATGATTCAAGGAGAACTTCTTTGGACATATTATGTCCATTAACTATCATCTTCTCAAATTCCTAAAGAGCTCCAAGTGGTTTACTTCGTATAAAGTTCTCACTTATAATTGGTTTATAAACAAAATGCCTTTGACGAGAGATGAAAAAAATGTTAAAACACGGGGTGCCTGGGTGGCTCAGTCAGTTAAGCATCTGAGTCTTGATTTCGGCTCATGATCACTCACAGCTTATGAGTTCAAGTCCTACATTGGGCTCTGCTGACAGTGTGGAGCCTGCTTGGGATTCTCTCTCTCCTCTCTCTGGCTCTCCCCTGCTTACACCTTCTCTCTCAAAATAAATAATATAAAAAAAATGTTAAAACAGTGGATCTAGTACTGATTTTCTTTTTTTCTTTTCGCAGACATGTGCATTGCGATTGCAATTTCTCTTCTTATGATCCTGATTTGTGCAATGGCTACTTACGGAGCATACAAGGTAAGCAGCCTTGAAATAAGGGGCTGAAAAAAGGGGCTTTTTCCTTGATCCCTTACACTTGTAACCTGTGCAGCTACTTGTAAGAAGGAAGAAGTGATGAGTCTCAGTTTCCTGTAAGAATCTTTGGAAGTTTAAATCTCACATTAATATGATGTGGATGGAAAACCAATGCTGTAGTCTCAGAAATGTCCAGAGGCTTGTTTTTGACCACCGCTGTCTGCCTTGTCAGTTGTCATGACCTGGTTGATTGAATTTCTTGTCCTCCATTTCCCTTCAGATCAAGAAAGGTTTTGTCTGAATTGGGAAGAAACCATATTTTCTTACGTGGAACACATTGACGTTGTATTTTCTGTCCTATTTAGCAACGCGCTGCCTGGATCATCCCGTTCTTCTGTTACCAGATCTTTGATTTCGCCCTCAACACCTTGGTTGCCGTCACTGTGCTTGTGTATCCGAACTCCATTCAGGAATACATACGACAGCTGGTATGTGGCCGTCCCCACCACGGTTCCTTCATGAGGGAAACCCGCAAGTCAGGGATCGAGACATCAGCATACACACACTTGTGATTTTGTGTGTCTTTCACTGGCTTCTGAGTTACTGATTAGAAATTTTTGAGTGTTGTCTTAAAGATGAGATTTTTGGTTTCTTAGAATGCTTGTCAGGACAACATAACCTCTGGAGTAGATAAGTAGGGGCTGTATTGACTCTATGAGATGCACCTACATAAATCAATAAGCTAGTTACTGATTATTATTTTTGTAAGATGTAGTTTGCTCAGTTATTAGCAAAGGATAGCATTTTGCCTCTGCTGTTGTATGGGAAAAGTGGAACTATACTATATGCTGGTTCCCAAACTGATTTGACCATAGAACCCCTATCTTCCTCAAGTATCTTTTTGGGACTGGTTTTCTGTTAAATGCCCTTTGTGATCATCTGAGCAAATGCGGTGGGTCGCTGGGTGTTCAGAAGCTTGTGGAAGGTGTGAGATTAGAATAATTCTGTGCCTTTACATTTTTAGCCTTCATTTTTAAAATTGTGAATGTGCCTTAAAATTTAATTTCTTCAAAATTTTAGAACGTTTTAAAGGGGGAGAATGTTCACTCTTTGGAAGTTTGCATTGTCTATGAGCTCTGGGGAAGGAGCAGGGTTTTTCTGGGATGGGAGATACAAGGCTGAGGATTTCAGGTGACAGGGGAGGCCAAGAGGAAGTTCAGTGGAAAAGAGAGAGATGGAGCAGGAGGAGGAGGGGAGGGAAGGAAATGTGGCCTCAGAAGTTTCCGATCTTAAGGCAGTCATGCCCAGATCACGTAACTAATACTTAGCAGACCTCGCATGAAAAGCCTCCAGCGTTTTGCTCCTTAAAAGCATTAGGTTGTCACTGTTATGGTTGTCATTCTTTTTAGTAATAACTTATCCTTGGTTTAGATAACAGGTCCAGGGGCTCCTGGGTGGCTCAGTTGGTTAAGTGTCTGACTTTGGCTCAGGCCATGATCTTGCAGTTCATAAGTTTGAGCCCCGCATCGGGCTCTGTGCTGACAGCTCAGAGCCTGGAGCCTGCTTTAGATTCTGTGTCTCCCTCTCTCTCTGCCCCTCCCTCTCTCTCTCTCTCTTTCTCAAAAATAAATAAAAACATTTTTAAAAAATTAAAAAAAACCCAGCAGGTCCATGTTTCGGTAGCCTGTAGTGTCAAGAAAAATTTTGTGTATTTGCCATGTGTGTTTTTTTGTGTATTTTCCACGTGTATTTTCTAATTGTATGTTATCTCTTGTGGTACAGCTTGAGTATTACTGCATGAGAGTGTTTCTATATAACGAGCAGGTTGTAGAATTACCTTTTTCTTTAGGGACTTGTGTTTTTACTCTGTAATGAGGACCTAGTGCTGGGTTCCTAAAGTCAACCTTGGAAGTGTGCAGGAAGCATGATTTCAGCATAGCCTGTCACCTTGAGGGGCTGGTAAAGGGGGTGGTGCTGAGTTAGGAGACACTATAAGACAAGCCCTATGGCAGCCCTGTGACTGCTTGAAGAGTGTCCTGTGTGCTCCGTCCCATATATTGCAGAAATGTATAAGGTGCAGGCAGGCGTTCAGAACACTCAGAATACTACCTTGACTTTGTTATACCCCACCTTGTTCAGTCACTTAGCCTTAGAGCTGCCAGTGGTAAAATGATAATATCGGGGATACTGCTGACAGTAATCATAGTATCAGCAAAAAAAAAAAAAAAATCACTGTCTACTTTTATTTGTAATTACAAACCAAATAATACAAGTGTCTTCAGTCTGTTCTACTTCAAGATCAGTCTAAGTTGAAGTGGTGAGGCTTATGGATTATCACGATGCTTAAGGATGATGTTAAAGCTCCAGTGACAGCAAGGCCCCGCTGACAAGCTGAGATACAGGAGTCTGCGGGGACCGTTATCTGAGAAAGCTGGCGGAAGGCACCCACTTAATTCTAATGCCTGTTCTGTTCATGTGGAGTCTTGTAAAGTGCAGCTAAAAAAAGTTGTGCCTGTGTTCTATAGGCCTTAACTGGACGTAGAAACCACGCTCGCTTTTCTGGAGGAAAGAGTATAGAGATGTTTGTGGAAGGAGTCACAAACTTCCACTTTAATCCTTTTTTTTTTTTTTTTTAATTAGACACAGAAACAATATGATTTCATGTTGATCTTGTGAACCAGCACCAAGTTGTTTTATTCTTACCTTTAAGATTAGTACTACAAAAGCCCTTCCAGTCTCCAAGGGTAGGGACCAGTTTCATGAGCTGATCACAAAGAATGATTCAGGTTTTATTTCTTGGGTATTTTGCCCAAAGCGAAAGGAGACTGAAAACCAGTTGGTGATGTTTCCTGGGGGGAGGAGGAGTCGGGCACATGAGTCATGGGTTTTCTTTGTATTCTTTCTTAACATTTGGAACCTCTTTGTTATGTCTCAGAATACTGCTCATGTGGAATCCAAACAGTTATGATCTTAGGTGATGAAGAAGAGAGGAAAGGGGACATGGTTTCCCAAGCTGCCTTCCACGCACACTGACCCAGGCCAGTTAGAGGAGGGCTTCCCCCAGGCGGAGCAGGGGCTTCATGGTGGGGCCCCGTCACCCCCAATCATAGGGGCAGGTTTGGGTCCTCCTGAAGGGACTTCTTTGACCTGATACTTCATCTGTATGGTCAGATGGTAGGGCTTGGTCTTTGGTTTTTAATGCTGTGAATACCTACTAGTGTAAAAGATTTGCTCTTTGAAGAGAAGCAGCATTAGCAAAAATACTCTGTATAAATAAAACAGGATTTTAATAGTTTTTCCTCCTTGGCCTGTGCAAGCCCTTTAGAGTGGTCCAGAATTTGCATAAAATCTAAATGTCAGAGGTATATATAGACTACTGACTTTAACTTTTTGGATCATAGGAGGCAGTGTTACATTTTCAGGTCTCATTTAATGAACCTTCCTCTGATTTTTCTTTTCACGAGTTATTGCCTGAATTATGAGTACACTGACCTCTCCCCACAAACCGTTTGTTACTCTTTAATTAGTAGAGGTAGGCTAGAAAGTTTGTAGGGGTCTTACATAATAACTGTCTGTTTTAACTAATTGCTTTTTAATAAGCATATCTGGTGAATGCCTAAAGAGTGTAATCCTGAATGATTAATGAGATTTGCTAATGGGGCACTTTTTATTTGCAGCCTCCTAATTTTCCCTACAGAGATGATATCATGTCCGTGAATCCTACCTGCTTGGTCCTTATTATTCTTCTGTTTATCAGCATTATCTTGACTTTTAAGGTAAGTGTGAATATTTTACTTACGGCTTAAATATTATTAAATGTATTCATGAATGTTGAAGAAGTAAGCAAACTTGTGTCAGTTTTTTTTCTTGCTTTAGATTTCTGAACTGTTTTCTTGTTTCCTAACAATTCTGTTCTTTCTCTTATTTATATGAGAGTAACAGTAACCACACTTCCACAGGCCAACCAAGGGTTATTCCAAAATCCATTTGGATGGGAATACATTAATGTATACATTAGGTTGTATGTTTTATATACTGCAACAGCCATTACAATGTCTGTGTGCACTTTCTTTTGTAATTTGTTTTTAAAATGTAATATATTTTGAACAGTGTTCTCTAACCATCTGGTGTATGAATTTATCATTATTTAATAAATTGCTTTTTGTTGGACATCAAGACAGTTTCTACTTTTTCACTTGTTAATAGTGCTGCAGTGAATATATTTTTTTAAATGTTTATTTTCAAGAGAGAGAGAGAGAGAGCAAGTGGAGCAGGGGCAGAGAGAGGGAGACAGAGGACCTGAAGCTGGCTCTGTGCTGACAGCAGACGGCCTGATGCAGGGCTTGAACTCACAAACCATGAGATCGTGACCTGAGCTGAAGTTGGATGCTTAATCGACTGAGCCACCCAGGCGCTCTTGCAATGAATATTTTTACTTCATCTTCAGTATATTTATTTCCTCAAGATACATTTCTTAAACTTAGAGGGTATGCGTAGTTGGAGGGCTTTTGGTAGGTTGTCAAATTGATCTCCCCCCCAACTGGGTGACTGACACCCTGTCAACACTGTTTCCCCCACCTCAACAGTTGAGTACCAGCTCTCCTTTTTCATTTTTGTGAACCTGATGGTAAAAACATCACTATAATTTGTGCCTGTGTGCTACCAATAAGTAAAAATTTCTAGACTAAAATACTAGACTTTGAGCTTTTAATCCTTAAAAAATAATAATCTCATTGTGTTTATTTTGGTGTAAACTTTCCCAGTTCTTAAAAAAGCAAGCCTTGGGGCATTTGGGTGGCACAGTCGGCTAAACATCTGAGCGTCCAATTCTGGGTCTCCGCTCAGGTCGTGATCTCACAGTTGAGGAGTTTGAGCCCCGCTTCGGGCTCTGTGTTGACAGTGTGGAGCCTGCTTGGGATTCTGTCACTCCTCTCTGCCCCTTTCCCACTTGTCTACTGTTGCTCTCAAAATAAATAAATAAACTTAAAAAATTTTTTTTTAAATAATCAAGCATCAGTAAGCTTGAAGAAGCCTCATTTAGGGAGAAAAGTCACTTCAAGCAGGTAATATGATGAAGAGGAGTAGGGGATTATTTGTGTCTACATTTTCCCCACGAAACTCTGAATATGTTGATGTTGCCCGTGTAGTTCAGTGCTTCAGGTTTGGGCCAATTTTATACACGGATTTGGAGGCTTTACCCTTCCGTGTGGTTCTGCTCCTCTCACCCCAGCCTTCCGGCTGCGCAGTTAGCCCCGAACATTGTCGTTTGCCACCCCAGGTCACCCCTGTCACATGCAGAGTTGGCAGCACCCTCTGGCAAAAGGTCATCAACTATCAATCCTCTACTCCCGGTAGTTTGTCTTTCACAGGTAGACTCTTTAGTTTCTGCCTGCTTTCGGTCCCCCCACCTACCCTCCATGCTTTCAAGTTGTGCACATGTCTTACTCCAGATTCTATCATTTTTGCCTGAAGGAAGGTTAGTCTGACCAAGCCGCTTTCTGCCATTACCAGGAGCTCGGAGGCTGGGACCTCCGGGTGCTCTTGAAGGCATGTTTATTAGTAGGCATTTTCATTTGTATTGGAAATGCTTGGAGTTGTTGAGTCTGATTTAGCTTCTGTCACTGCTGCTTCTCGCCGAGTAGCCAGAGCCATGGTTTCCTCATTTAATAACTAGCAATAATGGTGAAGAAAACATTCTGTACAGTGACTGTGAGGTTTAAGTGCCCTAATGGATGGGAAGATGTGTCATTCATTCATTTTCTCCATAAATATTTATTAAGGGTATTCCGTGTGCCAGGCTGTGTTCTAGGTACTGGGATTTGGTCGTGAATAAGAACAATTTCTGCCCAAGGGTGCTTTTATAAATTGCAAAACACTTAGTTATCATTATGATCTAATAAAAGGCACAATACAAATCTGCCTCCACCCTGTGGGAAATGTGTACTTCTCCTAATATTTCGTTACATACATTATCTATTAACTAGACTGCATTTCCTTGGGAACGTAGACTAGGCCTTCATGTTTATATTCCGCTTAGCACTAAGCTGATGCCTTGCACGTAGAGACTCAGTAATGACTAAATAAATATGAGTCTACATGTTGTGACTTCACATATCAGTTTACCTGATCAGTGGCTCTCACGACCTGATTTCACTGTTACTGTTTAATAAGATTAATCACCACACTGGTTCCCTAGGAGTCCAAACCAGGATGCGTAGTCCATTTCAGTCTGTTCCAAGGCCACAAAGGGAGCAATGCTTACCACCTAGCTCTGCAAATACATGATGGACATGATTTGTCAATGCAAGGTTATTTGGGAAACATATTAGATATTTAATTCTCCTGAAGTTGAATAAGCTTACAGAAATGTCAAGAAAGAAATAAGATCACTGAAGTCAGTTATTGGGTTTTTAGTGACAATAGGCCAGAGGTTTTCCCCCTGTTGGAGTGTTGAGTAAGTGAATGCACGTGGTGTTGCAGGGGGCCCTCGAGAATGCCGCCTGAGCTTGTGAAGTCCCCGTCCCCGGGCACTTCCCCTCTGCTGTTCAGCCTTTCTGTTACAGATTTGTCTTTGCAGGGGCCTCACATTGTCTTAAAGAATAGCTACAGTTCGGGGCGCCTGGGTGGCTCAGTCGGTTAAGCGTCCAACTTCGGCTCAGGTCATGATCTCACGGTCCGTGAGTTCGAGCCCCGCGTCGGGCTCTGTGCTGCCAGCTCAGAGCCTGGAGCCTGTTTCAGATTCTGTGTCTCCCTCTCTCTGACCCTCCCCCATTCATGCTGTGTCTCTCTCTGTCTCAAAAATAAATAAACATTAAAAAAAAAAAAAAAAAAAGAATAGCTATAGTTCACTGCTAAAAAAATGGATGAGTAGTCTTCTTACATAACATGTAACTGATATGTCCAAACATTCTTCTTCATTTGTATTGGAATTCCCAAAAAGTCTAAGGCTTTTTTTTTTCCCACTAAAGAAACAATGGCATTACTGAGTAAACTGAAGCTTTGAGTAAATTGAACATACTGTGTACATTGTTCAAGAAATCTGCCCTTCCTGTCTTTCTCATTGTTGATATCTGGTTTCAGATTATTGCTGTCCAGGAACATGTTGTAAAATAGCATTATACATTTTCATCCTAACATCCTCACAGCATACTTAAATATAAGAAGTAATCACCATTAAGTATGAATGCAGCTTAAGACAGCATTCTGAGTATATGACAGAGTGTTTTATCTCACTCTTCCGAGAAATGTTGACAAGCACCCCTTTCGTCCTTAAATATCTTCTTTTATAACAAACAACTTTGTTTTATACAAACAACTTTGTTTTATAACAAACAACTTTGTTGCAGTGTAATTCATGTGTCATAAAGGTCTCCTATTAAAAGGGTACAATTCGGTGGATCTTAGTATATTCATGGAGTTGTGTGAACACAGCTCTGTGGTTAAGCAGCATAACTTTAGAACATTTTTATCACTCACCACCCCCAGAACCCCTCCCCCTGGCAACTACTAACCTACTTTCTGTCTCTGTAGATTTGCCTGTTCTAGACATTTCATGTAAATTGAATCATACAGCATGTGGTCCTCTGTGACTGACCGTTTTTGACTCAGCGTAATATTTTCCAAGGTTCATTCGGGTTGCAGCATATGTCAGAATTCCTTTCCTTTCTATGGCTGAACACTGTTCCATCGTATGTGTGTACCACATTTCATCTACCGCATCGACAGTTGATAGATACTTGGGTTGTTTCCACTTCCTGGCTATTACAAATAATGCCACTGTGAACATTTGTGTACAAGATTTTGTGCAGACACATGTTTTCATTTCTCTTAAGCACATACCTACAAGTGGAAGTGCTGGATCATATGGTACCTTCTTTAACCTTTTGGGGACCACCAGACTCTTGTCCAAAGCGGCTGGACCATTTTACATTCCCATCGGCAGCATACGAGGGTTCCAGTCTTTCCACATCATTACATTTTTTGATCAAAGAATTGTACAGCTAGAAAGGGATTTTGAAGTCCTTTAATCCAGTTCCAGGTGATTGGAGCGGAATGCAAGCGGCTCATAGTCTACATAGAACACCTCCCACGAGCTCACGCTTTATTCCTGGCTCCTGACATTATTTATTCATATCTTTATTCGAGACATTAATTCTAATTATCTTCTTTGGATATTTCATTATGAAAATGGGAAATGTTCTAGTGAATTTTATTGACCATGAAGCAAATTTATGTGCTGTGAACGTTTTTGAAAAAATTAACTTGTGTATGACTTGTTTAATCACGTATAATAAAAGTAAAATAAAGATCCCAAAGACAGAGAATTTATGTGATGAGAAATGGGTTAGTAAATTGACCTGTGACACTGGGGGCAGTAAATGTTTGTGGCCGTTGATCTTTCCAACTACCTTTTCTCACAGATTCTCTTGCTCTTCCCTATCCCCCCTTCCCCAGCCCCCCACTGCCTTCCGGGGTGGTGTGATAGAATAAGCTATAGCAGCACCCTTTGGCAGAAAAGGACCCAACACTTGTAATTTTAGGGACTTTTTGGTTTAGTAGAGTTACTATGTGCACGTACTAGTTATGTAAATAAAAGTTTTGTAACTGGGGGGGGGGGGTATTTAAAATCTTCTGAAGTTGAAATGAAAGATCTAATAGTTATTACTCACTTACAGGGTTACTTGATTAGCTGTGTTTGGAACTGCTACCGATACATCAATGGCAGGAACTCCTCTGATGTCCTGGTTTATGTTACCAGCAATGACACTACGGTAGGTGCAAAGTCATTTAACGTGGAGATTGCCATATTATGTGACAGCTTCTAGATGTTTCTAGTGTTTGCTGTGATCTTACTGTTGTTGACACATACTCATGAGCTGCTTAGTCATCAAAAGATTCATAGTTGAATGAAATGTGTTTTGTTTTCCTTATAGGATATTAAAAAACCTAGGTGGCTCAACTTCTGGCTTATTTTTAAAAATATTACAGATGGATAATATATGTGCCTTCCCCATATTTATGTATCTTAAACTTGAATTATTAAACCATGGTATAAAGTTCTAGATATCAGTTCTGCCTACTATGACTGTGTGCTCTCACTTGAGAGAGAATTGAGAATGTGAGTTGAAACCTAGAGAAACGTGACTGTACAGAGAGAGAAATGAGGGTGGCAGAGGTTCCTGTGTTTTTAACTCTTGTTTTGCTTCTAGTTGTTCATACTTAAAATTTTTAAACCTATTTAATAGGATTGTGGAAAACATGATTTTACTGGAAGAGTCCTCAAAATCATTTGTACTTTATGGAAATTATCTTAAACTCATAGGAAAAGTGTAAGCCCTCTAGATAGGAACCTGCCTATGTCTCCATCGAATTTGTACTCGGCACAGTGCCTGACGCAGTGCTCGGGACAAGCGCGTGCTCAAGGAGCAGTTGATGCAAAGGTTGATGATGGATGACATGAATGTGTGGGATGGCTTGTAACAGATGGGATTGGAGGGGACAGAATGGACAGGACACATGGAAGGGTAAATACAAATGGCGTGTTAGGTCTAAACCAGAACAGAGTTTTATATTTTGTTTTGGTTTTTACATTGTGGTGACTTACTCACCTTGTGACCTTACTGAAGTGATTTAACCTGTCCCTGACTCGACCTCCCTGTGTATAAGATGGGAATAAGACAGTATCATGCTTTATATTAAATATATAGGTACAAGCTGATACACTGAGAACTATGTGGGATTTCTGAGAGAAAGCATGCTGTACACGAATCATTTTCCTAAGTGCTCACCAAACATTTGTTGAGTTGACGCGCATGTGTGTGAGCAGTGGTTTAACAAGAGGCCATGGTCAGGTGCACGAAGCCCAACACACCAGATGCTGAGAGGCCCTTTTGTGGGGGGTGGGGTGGGGATGGGTCCTGCAGAATCCTATGCCCTGATTGCAGTAAACACATGTTCTGCTCAAGACTTTAAAGAATTCCTCTTGGGTCAGTAAGTCTCTTTAAAGAAATCGCTGTTCGTAATTAACATAATTTTGATAAAATTACTGGCTTAAAGAATTTTTTCCTTCTCTGAGTTTCTGGGTACTTAGTTACCTGTAAGTTTCTTTTTTCCTGCCCTTTCTTCAAGAAGAAATCCCAGAGTACATTTATTGTCCTGCTGATCTAATGAAAAATCTAAACAAAGTTTGAGATTTTTGAGTTTGAAGAACCAATAAAGTTGCTAAACAAGCAACCTCATCCTTAAATATCATGATGTATGGGACTTACAGAACTTTGAGAAGTATCTCAGAGAAGATAATGCCCGTACTGCACGTGTTTGTGTCGATACACTGTCAGTGGTGGTTGTTTTTTCAGTGCTTTCCAAAGAGTGGTATGTATTCTTAATAGAAGCAAGGTGGAAGGACTAAAAGGGTGCACGTTGTATAGATATACCTTCAAATCCAAGGATATTCTGATATTTGTAGAAACTGGGATGCTTAGAGAATTTAAGAGCCATGAGTAAGTCCCTAAAATGCAGCCAACTTGCTTTTTTTAGAGGAAGCTTTTATTTTCTCTCCCTTTGAAAGAGTCAGAATTAGACATGGGATAGCAGGTAGGTTTTATTTAGGCGAATATAAACTGAAAATAGTTGTACTTTTCAACTGGACATCTTCAGCTCCTCTAATACTAGACCTCTTTCCTCAGAAAAGCTTCCAGCTTGGCAGTGGTTTGGAGTAACTAGGATTTGGGACGTTGGACGACTGCCAACTGCGATGGTTTCCTGATGTTTTGACAAAGGTGTTGGGGGATTGCTTGGTAGTGGTTATTGGTCATTATCTTCTTGACTGTGCTGTACTGACTTGCTGTTTTTAAGACGGGACACTGAGTTGCTGATAATGTTTTTACTTTCTCGGAGTTCCCAGTGAACCTTTTCTTTTTCTGTGTGTGTTTAAAGAAGAGTATTTCTGGGGAAGGGAGATTTATCATTTCTCATAACTGGATTGCATTGATAGTCTAGTCCAAAATACAGTGTTAGATCATCACCTGAGTCTCAGCTTTCTGACAGTATTTTTAAAGATTTTTTTAGGGGCGCCTGGGTGGCTCAGTTGGTTAAGCATCCGACTTCAGCTCAGGTCATGATTTCATTGTTCATGAGTTCGAGCCTCACACCAGGCTTTGTGCTGACAGCTCAGAGCCTAGAGCTTGCTTTGGATTCTGTGTCTCCATTTCTCTCTCTGCCCCTCCCCTGCTCATGCTCTGTCTGTCTCTCTCTCTCAAATATTAAAAAAAAAAACAAAAAACCACATTGTTAAAAAAAGATAATGGTATTGTGCTTATTTTTAAAAGAGTCCTTACTATACTAAATTAATAATGCTTTAATATCATACAATACCTAGTAAGTGCTCAGATTTCCAGTGCCTCATAAATGTCATAATTTTTCTAGTGGTTTGAAACAGGAACAATGGGTCACTCTGTATTTTAAGACTCTAATTTTGTTGTTAAAGAAACTAGTTTGTCCTACAGACTAGATTTGTCTGACCGTATGCCTGTAATGTAGTCCTCTGTATTCCCAGTAGATTAGTACTCGGATCTAGGGATTTTCCATATTCATTACCCCCACCTTCTTTTTTGCAACATGACTTTATAATTGATCATTTGTTCTTCCGTCAAGAGGCAGATAATCTGTCTGACTGATTCTGCCTTTTTGGAACGTCAGCAACCAGTGATACCTAATGCCTGGATTTGGTGATTGATGAGGGGTTGCAGGATGGTGACAGGCTGTCAGTCCTTGTTCACTACTAGCTGGAATATTTCTGTAAAGAGAAACTTTCCCTCATGTTCTATTGGGTTACCCAGAGGTACTTGTGACCTGGATAAATATACTTCTTTTTGTTATTTATCAGTTTTCAAAATGATACATTGGTCTGTCATTCTCTAGTGGTGACCAGTGAAGGTTTTGTTTGTTTTGTTTTGTTTTGTTTTTTATGGAACAAATGAACTCAGGAAAAAAAGGCCTGTTATGAGAAGAGTCTGGGGGTGTCCAGTTGGAAAGTAAAGTGTCTTGATAAATTTTGTCAGGAAACCTAAATAAAACTTTAACCTGTTATTCCATGCCTTTTTGGAACTTTCTAAGGGAAAAATATAAAAGCTTTCTCTAAAAAGCTCGTATATTATATAGTTTAATGTTTATAGTTTAATGTATATAGTTTAATACATAACAAGTATGTATTAATGTTCAAATTGTGCCATTTTTGGCCAATTGGAGCCTCTTCAGGTTGGCACCCAAATCTTTTGACAAAAGTGTGGCTTCCTTGCTGTCTGGTTGACAAGATGCTCCAGGCTCCTCTCGTCCATTTTCTGTCCCAGACTCATAATCAGCCATTTCTCCAAGGAGCACTGCTTTCTTTAGGTGGAGACCGTAATCTGGATTTCTAGGTTTGGACAACATATTTCTTTTAAAAAAATTTCTTTAACATTTATTTATTTTTGAGAGAGACAGAGCATGAGTGGGGGAGGGGCAGAGAGAGGGAGACAGAATCTGAAGCAGGCTCCAGGCTCCGAGCTGCCAGCACAGATACGGAGCTCGATGCGGGGCTCGAACTCACAAACAGTGAGATCATGACCTGAGTCGAAGTCAGTTGCTCAACTGACTGAGCCACCCAGGCGCCCCAAGACAACATATTTCTCTTTAAGCAGGGCTCCGCATGTTTAAGAATGGTTTTGACTAGAACGAAAGGAGTTAATGTTAGCATTCCAACTTTAAAAATCCCAATATGCCGAAGCCTCACTCTGAGACCTGAGTGGGGGTTGGAGTGATCTAGTTCTGTCATTTTCCCTGGACTCCATAGCTATATTAAGATCCTCGTAGCATGTAATAATGTGTTTCTCTTTTGTCCCTGTCTTTATTGGGAATCCACACTGACATAATAACGTGTTGCCTTTCACTTCCTATCAAGTATTAGGCCAGATGGCTTTTCTCCCAGGCTGAATAGTCTCAGGGTGACCTCTGTGGAAACATCCTCTGGGGGCTCTTGTTGGTAGAAAATAAATGTGTTCTCTTTTTAAATTTTTTTTCTTCTCTAAAATAGTACACATATTATTAGTCGTATATGTACTCTTTCGAATACTGCTTAGGTGGAGGACAGAGGAGTTATCAGGTACTGGAACTCATTCCCTGAGTTAATCTAACCTCCAGTTTCCCAACCAAACTACAGCAAAACCTTTAAAAGAAATGATTAAGACAGAGTGGTCACCAACTCTGTTAGTTCATAATGCTCTAGGGTCTTGGTTTTTTTTTTTTTTCATGGTGCCCATAAGCCAAAAGGAATACCTAACTGTCCATTGCATTAAGTAGTCAGGTCCAGAGAATCTAAGAGTACAAGTGAGGATAATAGGGGCGTCTGGGTGGCTTATTTAATTAAGGGGTCGATTCTAGATTTCAGCTTAGGTCATGATCTTTTTGTTTGTTTAAAGTTTATTTTGAGAGAGAGGGAGCACAAGTGGGGAAGGGGCAAAGAGAGAGGGAGAGAGAGAATTCCAAGCAGGCTCCACATTGTCAGCGTATAGCCCAACACGGAGCTTGGATTTACAAGTGACGAGATCATGACCTGAGCTGAAATCAGGAATCAGGTACTTAACTGACTGAGCCACCCAGGCATCCCGGCTCAGGTCATGATCTTGTGGTTTGTGAGATGGAGCCCCATGTTGGGCTCTGCCCCTCCCTTGCTCACTCACTCTGTCTCTCTCTCTCTCTCTCAAAATAAATAAATAAACTTGGAAAAAAAGAAAAA